GAATACATTTCGGAATTTTATTTTTTCCTTTTTCTTTCCTTTTTATATTTTTATTTTATTTCTGTTGTTTTTCAATGGACGCAGCTTATTTACTGTTTGTACCCCTTTCAAAATTGAGATAGAATTTACAAAAAACCATAAAAATAAAGAAGCAAAGAGGAACTGTCCGTGGTTGACTAGTAATTTCTCGGACTGACGACAAGTCAACTCAGTCAGGTAAATCAGCATTGAGATGAAGGTATGAATAATTCACTGGATTAAATTTATAATTATTTGACAGCAGCTAAGCAAGGTTACCAAAATATCCACGTTGGACGATTACTATTTTTATTGTGTCCACAGTAGGAGCCATAGTTCTTAAATTATTTCAAAAACGTTTATAACATTCTCAAACGGCAATCGCGTTTGGTTTGTCACGTGACCACAAGTAACGAAGGTCCTATAGAACAATGAAGGCACGAGCAAAGAAAATTTACATTTTGATTAACCGAAACAAACGAATAATTTTCCTCTCTTACTCTCGCAACATTTTTGCAACGAAATATAGAACNTTCCTCTCTTACTCTCGCAACATTTTCGCAACGAAATATAGAACACTTTCTCCATGTTTCTGTCAAATTATAGAAACACTTGTGAAAGTTTGACGAACACGAAAAAGATGTGGAAACATTCGCCTGTGCCTCGCGTTCCTATAACTCGAAAAAACAAGGAGATTGCTTCTGTATTTTGAATGGCTTTTCACGCATTTTCTCCTGAGTTGGGTTATCATAAGAAAAATGAACGAAAACGATGTTCAATCGCATATAATACTCTGAAAAATTATTATAGTTATTTACTCCACCCTCCTCCAAAAATGCAGTGAACGACAGAAAATTCTACTTAAAGGGCCCTAGTCAGCCACAGCTTTGTTTTTGTTTACAAGCGAGCGTTTGGCTATTATATTTTATTCGGAGCATGTCGAAACGAAGGAAATCACAGTGAAACTTTTAAAGATAATTAAACAGATCCAATACAATTCCTTCCAATGTGGATAAATCTAAAATAGTATGGAACTTAGGAAGCTGCGCCAGTTAACAAGAGTTCTCTCAGATCTAATTTCAGGAGGATAACAGAGCAATTGAGCCAGGTTACGTTTTGGGTCGATCAGTGCATAAGAACAAGTGTTTACCTGGGTCCTGGACTGGGATAAAATCATCAATCTTAAATGATGGTAAATGCGTTCATCCTCTTCTTGCTTTGTCCTGACTTGTATCCGCCTGAAAAAGAGAAAGACTGGTCAGAAAGATTTAGATCAAACGAGTAATGGCTGGCATGGTGTGCTGACTGGTTCCTAACACAAGGAACCTGGCCACTGTACCCTGGTAAGACACTTTACTCTCAGAAAGCGGCTGTCTCAGCCCAGGAGTATAAATGAGTAACTACATTTCTGTTCTAACCTCCTACGTAGACGCTCTTTGGGCTCTTCACAGAATCTGAATTTACTGGGTGGAAGCAACCCTTTTACAAGTAAGTTCTTACACCCATCTCTTGTAAAAAGCCCAAATCCATTCG